ACATCTATTTATTTATTTGAGTGCCCTGGGCCCTGCCCTCAGCCCAGCTAGGCCAGGTATCCAGTGACCCTTGGTGCTGATTAAAGTTCCCGGGTGACCTCTGAGTGCTTTTGTTACCCTGCCTGGTAATAAAACCCCGCTTAAACGCCTGGCTTATCCAAACCCATGGCTCCTTCTGCAGGGAGCTCTGCAGCCAGTTCCACTGAGCCCTTGGGAACGCTCAGCTTAGCCCAGTTTAGCATGCCCTGTTTAACTGGTGGGCCCAGGTAGCCACGTGGGTTGGATGGACAACCTGAAAAGACCACTGCCTGCTCATGCTGCTGCGGTGCTCTGCATTGTTCTCATTGCTGGCAGCCCTAGGAAGGGCAAAGGCACGGCGTGAAGAGCTGCCTCCAGCTCAGATCCACAGTCCTTGCAGGCTGGAGTTGAGGAGGTTCCCTCCCTCCTAGCCTCTCTTCCATTTAGTGGAAAGCTTACAGAAGAAAAATAGGATTTATCTAGCTGGTAGATTTGCTTGTCATCTCTGCTGAAAGTGAGGTGGCAGCAGTTGAAGCTCAATCTGCCTTGAAATCTGAAAACTGAATGTTGTACAGACAAACCGATGAGCAAATCTCTGCTCTGCCTGCCCCCTCATCCTTTTCTGCTTTCTAAATGACAAGGCAAGGGCAGGGCCTCATCCCAAACTGGCTATGGGAGGTTTAGGCAGAGCAGATTTTACAAAGCAAAGAGCCCTGCCAGTGGAAACACCACCCCAGGTGCTTGTGCCCCTAAATCGTGTACGGTGCCGATGTTGCGATCCCTGAGCAAGTTCCCAAAGCCTGGTGGTTCTCACCACTGTGCACCAGTAACAAGCCACCTCGGTCTGGCTGGAGATGTGATGGTGCTTCCAGGAATGGTTGTGTGTGATGTGAACTCAGCCCCTGATTCAAAATATTATGCAGAGGAATAATAAATCTTGGTTTTAAATTGCTGCCCCACTTAAGCTTTGATTAGACTCTGATGGTCTGTTCACCCTGGAGCTGCTGGTATTAATCTGCATGCTAAACCCTAATTATAAACTGCTCATGGCATTTCCAGATGATATCAAGATGTTTGGGATTAAAAGAAACTGTGATGTTGAGTTTACAGCTTAAAATGACCATCGACTACCTGGTCCCCACAGATCTAATAACACAGCTCTGCATGGGGAGGAGAGGAGCAAAAGAGGGAGATTTGGCCCAAGTGTGTAGCAAGAGTCTGTAGGAGAGAGGGCTGCCTCCAGGCTGGCAATGTGTGCACACACATGTGTAAGGCAATACACATACACGTGTCCTTGTGCAGGTGCTCTTTGTTTCCAGCTCAGCCTTGTTCTCACCCAACCCTGAACAGAGCTGCAAAGAGGGTTTCGTAGCTGCAGAGCTGTGCTTTGGTTCCCCAGCACCGGGGTATTGGCAGAGGAGAGCCCAGCACTGGAGATATTGCTGGGGATGGGATGGTGTGGCATGGCATAGCATGACATGGGATGGCATGGGGTGGGATGCGATGGGATGGGGTGGGATGCAATGCAATGGGATGGCATGGCATGGCATGGAATGGGATGCAATGTGATGGCATGGCATGGCATGGTATGGAATGGGATGAGATGCAATGTGATGGCATGGCATGTGATGGCATGGCATGGTATGGCATGGTATGGAATGGGATGGGATGCAATGGGATGGGATGGGATGGAACCATATGGCTGCAGCCCAGAAATGCTCAGCGGCAGAAAGCTGCCCTGATGTGATGTCTCTCATTGGCTTGCCTGTAGGGAGCTGAAGTTTCTGGGAGGAAGGTCTATCTCAGGGAAACCTCTCCGCACAGTGGCTGTCAGTAGAAGAGGAACAAACATTGTTGCAGCCTCCTGCCTGCTCAGTCACCCATCTCAACAGCAGGAGAGCAGCACTGAGGACACCTGCATGCCTCACAGTGGCTGAGCACCTTGTATAGTCAAGGCCAAGGACTGCAGAGCAGTAATAAATGGCATGTACATTTTTGTCCTGGATGCTCCAGCTTCTTGTCTGCTCTGAGTATTTCTCGTGGGCTGCAAGACCCTTAGGAAGGTTGTCAGCTCCTGTTTGTTGTGCCTGAGAACTTTAACCAAGGTTATGGCTGTAAGTGCTGGGAAATCCCTGCTTGGACATGTGCAAAAGTGAAGGAAACATTTCTGAAGGTTTATACCACACTTGGATAGCTCATATTGTTGGAGCTGAGAGCCACGGGAACTGCCAGGTGCTGGGTTTCGTGGGAAACTGCAGGAATTAGGATGGATGCTTGAGTTAGAGACTCCCCTTCTTAACATGCAACTTGGAAGAGAGGGAGGAAAATCATAGCATTTGGTTCTGCCTTACGTCCTTTCAGGTGGCTACAAGGTAGGAGACAGGTTTTTAGGCAGGGCTCTGGGCGATGAGCATGGGACCCAATTGGGGTTATGAAAACCCAGTTGGGGTTATGAGAACTGTGGTTTCCTATCACCTCTTTTTGGGTCTGCTGCCAAGGACAAACTGCCTGTGCACCAGTTTCCCCATCTGACAATGAGATCTCAGCAGACTGCAGAGTGGCTCGTGCCTATTTATCCAGAAAAAGTGCATGAGCTTCTCCTCTTCCCCTGGAGAGGGACACAGAGGTGATTTCCTTGAGCATTCACATAAGGTGACAATCTTAAACTTCGAATCAAGTTAAATGAAGTGGCTGATGAGGGCATGTTTTATGCTCGTCCTGTGGAGATGATCCTACTCCTGTTGTAATAGCAGTGTGAGATTTGCAATATCTCACCTGGGAGCTCAGAACATGTCCTTCATCCACTCCCCATCCTCATCTCTCTGATTGTTTGTCTTTTGCTTCATGGTCTTCTGGGGCTGTTTTGGTCTATCACAGGATGAGTCTGTAGGGAAATGCTTCCTGCCTGTCTGATCTTATCCGGGTTATGATCCGTGCCAGGCTCTGAACATAGAGATAATACAGCTGGCCAAAGTAGCCTCAGGTGGGCTCTTTGAAAGCCTGGTCTCATAGGCCACAAAAAGATGTGCCTCAAGCCCTCCAGCTGCTTGGCATCCCCATACATAGAGGTGGAGCTAAGAAGCTAAACTACAGCTGGGGCTGAATGCGACCTATTTCCTGCACGTCAGAAGGTGCCTTCTCCTATCCTACCCATTCTCTCAAGCTTTGCCTGATGGCCAGTATAACAGGATACCCTGCTACACTGAGTATACACAGAGCACCCTACCATCTCCTAATGGGATTTCTTCCCATAGATGAAAGCTTCTGGAGCAGGATGCACTAATCCTGCCTCTGTGCTGCTGCTGTGTCTATGTTGCCCTTCTGTGGGGGCTGTGTTTATGGGGAGCACTCATGGAGCACCAACATGCTTTCACTTATTACCTCTCCAGGGCACCTGCTGGTACTGGGTTGGGTTCTCAAATCTCTCCCTAGTTGTAGTGGAAATGCTAAGTCATAGCCTGAAGCAGTGATTGAGCACCTGGTGGAAAAGCAGGGCCAACCCAGGAGAGCTCAGGTCTGCGCAATGAACCTGAGTGACCAGAAGGGCTGGAGCCAGGATCCACCCCTTCCCAGACCACATTTAAGGGTTGGCAGTGGAGGTGAGGGCATCTCTTTCTGGAGGTCCGTGCATACCTGAGGCCTTCCAAAAGTAAGCAGCTCTTTTCCTTCATTTTTCTAACTGTGGCTGCTGCACTTGGGTTCATTCTCATTTGCTGTAGTCAAAGACTTTGCAACGTTGCTATTTTCATTCCATTGCAGCATTACAACAGTGCAAAGGGGATGGATGTGGTTCACGTTCCCCAGCACAGCTGTCAGGTCAGCTGCAAAACTGATTAGAAGAAGAATGAGAAGAAAAAGGGTAAAACTGTCTGAGAAGTGGTCCCTTACATTAATACCCATCCCAAAAAGGGACGCACTGGTATGCAGTGAAGGCACTGCTGTTGGCACAAAGATGCACATGCAGTATTTTAGGTGCAAGTATGCCCTTGCATGTGTGCACAGCTTTGCCCTACTGTCTGCCCTGGGCAGCCTTGCCTGCCCTAAGCTGAGCACAACAGAGCCCTGCCACACTCATTTGGGTCTTTGAGACTGCAAAGGGTAAACTGGGACTGGAGTGGGGGCCTGAAAGCAAACTAATGATGAAACTGTCTCCTCCATGCCTGAGCCTTAATTAAATGCATGGAGAGGCTCGGGGAAGCACATCTGTTTTCAATCTGGAGCCCTTTGATGGCATCAAATGTTCTTTCCCCAGATCAGGGGGGATGGAAATTCTGGGCTGGCTGTGGCAGTGCTGAACCCATGTTGCAGCTCTTGGGATGTGGGGATCTTGGGGGGCCTGGTGGGAGCGTGCCAGCACCCTTTTCTGCACCCGCCAGGCTGCCCTCAGGCCCTGCTGTAAAGGCTGAGCACTGCCTGTCCTTCTGCTTGTCTGCGTCACCAGGACCTGCTGGGACTTTGGCTCACTGGCTGTAGAGCTCTGAAGGTCCTCCCTCCTATCTTTCAGTCTCCTTTGCTCTTTTGCTTTTTGGTCTGACCGTTGTTGGGTCTTTTTTGTTCTGCTACTATTTGCTTTTTTTCTTCTTTTGCTACTTCTCGCCTGCCTTGTTTCTTAATTCTGTTGCGCTTTTTCTTCCCCTCTACTTTTTTCCCTCTCTTCTCTCTCCCATTTCTATCGCTCTTTCATCTGTATTTCTCATTTTCACCCTTTCTTTCTGCTCCCCCCACGGCCGTACCCACCCTTTTCCCGCTGACCATACCCCCACCCTCGCACCCCTCTAAGGAGGACTGAGAGCTGCTTCTCCCCCAACCCGGGGACTGGGGGGCTGCCCGGTGCCTCCCGCAGCCGCCGATCATCCCGGCCGGGGGTGGGGGGCCCCGCTCCGGTGCCACGTCCCGGCAGGGCCGCCCTCCCCGGGTACCCGGCGGAGCCGCCCCTGCCGTTTGAAGTGCGGCCCGGAGGGGCGGAGGGAGGAGAAGGAGGGAGGGGAGCGGAGCGGCCGGGCGGGGAGGCGGAGGGACGGGGCGCACCCGCCCCAGCCGCCCCACAGCCACCGTTCTCCTCCCGGCCGGCGGCAGCTCCCGGCGCCCTGAGCCGGCCTCTCTCTTCCCTCCGGCATGTTTTAAGGCCGGCCCTAGCCGCTCTCCTTTGGGCTTTCCTTCCAGCCGCCCCACCGCCGTCGGGTCCCCGTTCCCCCCGCCCTCGGGCCGTGCGCTTCCCCCCTCGAAGGGCCGGCGGCTGGGGGGGGAGCGGGGGCGGTGGGCGCCGGGGGGGCGAGGGCAGAAAAGCCCCCGCTCGGCACCATGGCGTCCAGCTATGCCCACGCCATGGAGAGGCAGGCCCTGCTGCCAGCCCGCCTCGACGGCCCCGCCGGCCTGGACAATTTACAAGCCAAGAAGAACTTTTCCGTGAGTCACCTGCTGGACCTGGAGGAGGCGGGCGACATGGTGGCCGCGCAGGGGGACGAGGGCGGCGGCGAGCCCGGCCGGAGCTTGTTGGAGTCCCCCGGGCTGACCAGCGGCAGCGACACTCCGCAGCAGGACAGTAAGTGCGGGGACAGCCCGCCGCCGCTTGGGGAACGGAGCAGAACCGGGGAGCGGCGCGGCAGGGTCGGGGCAGAGCGCGGGGCTGAGCGGGATGGGGTCGGGGCAGAGCATCCGTCATCCCTCCCTCTCTCCGTCCGTCCCTCCATCTCTCCATCCGTGCCTCCGTCCATCCGTCACCCGTCTATCCATCCATCCATCGCCCGTCCCGTCGGAGCCGGCCGCAGCTCGGAGCTCTGCGCGCAGCGCCGTGGTTCCGTGCGCGGTCGCAAAGCGGAGCCACCTCCTCGCCGAGCCTCGTTTCTCCCAGAGCCGCCTGCTGCGGGCCCCTGCAGCCCCCGGCGTGGGGCAGGGGATGGGGCAGGGCAGCCCGTCCTAAAGGGCCGCAGTAGGGCAGCGGGGAAGGCGCACAGGCTTGCGCGGTATTTTCCAAGCGCAGCGCTGTGCTGCGGGCGAGCCGCGGAGGACTGGGGTGAGGTAGGTGTGCAAGCCCCTCTGCCTTTCCCCTCCTCGTTTAGGCTAGAAATGCGCCCTGGACGCGGTTTTCGTTGTGGGTCGGGTCTGGCGGCAGCCGATGCGGGGAGCGAAGCGCAGCCAAGGATACGGGATCCCTTCCGAGGGCTCCTGGTGAGAATCCCCCCCTCCGCCCCGAGATCGGCCGATCCGCCTGCGAGAGGCGAAAAAAACGAGAAGGGAAAAACGAAAATCACGGTTTTCGTTTTTTTTTTTTTTCTTTTCTTTTTTTTTCCACCTCTCGTTGGTGGTCGCCGTAAATAAACGAGCGGCACCGTCGCGGTGCCAGCACGGACCGGGACAGCGGGATCGCCACCCATTCCCGGCTGTAGGGAACCTTCCCCCTGTGCCTCCCCCGCCCCATCGCTGACTTTCCGCTGGGTGCTCGGAGCCGGCCCGCACACCGCAGCCCCCCTGCCGCTCTGACCCGGCTTTTCTCAGCTTCTCCGGGCGAGGCTGACGAAGGGGTAACACTCCCAAAAAACGCGTTTTACCCCTGTGAGACCCCCCGGGCTTCAGCGCGGTGACCGCTTCTGTCCAGCAGAGAGGCAGCGTCCCGGGACGGCTTTTCCTTTGCGGCGTGGACGGGAGCGAATCGAGCGTCGCTGGGAAATCGCTTTAGAAACGTCCCTTCCTGAGAGCCGCTGAATGCATTTTCTGGCCCTAAAAGTGTGCTTTCAGTGGGTCAGGACGGCAGCGATCGCCGTTGTCCCGTGGTTCGGCTCCTGTCCTGCCAGGCTGCGGCCAGGCGGCCCCCGAGATAAGCAACGAGTTCTTCCAACAGCTCTTCTTTCCATCCTTGTTTTTGCCCCCGTTTCGTTGATGGTATTTAACTGGGCCCCGGGTTGCTCGTGGTGCTTCCCGCTGCTGAGTTCCGCCCGGAGCAGAGGGGCTGCATTCCCCTGCTGCCCGCGTTGCTCTCAGAACATTGAACACTCCGTATCCCGCTCCAGGGATGTACTGCCCATCCAGCAATGCCGAGCAGGGGGCAAACTGCCCCTCGAAGTCAATCAGGGATTCTCCAAATGCTGTAAAAGCTTGGATGCCGTTGCGGCGAATTAGGAAGTTTTAGAAGTGTTTTTAAAGCAAGCCGAAAAGAATAGCGTGAATAAATCCTCTCTGTCTCCTTGGGCAGAGCTGTCATCTGGGCTGCGTGGCTGTTTCACTGATGTGTTTAGCAGCCCCAGTGTGACTCCATGCCTCAGTTTCCCCACCTGCAGAGTGTTCTGATGTGTGTGCAGGAAAGGGCTGTGTGAGAGCATGGTGCAAAATAAGAGCTGGTTGAGCAGGACAGCCAACGCCGAGCTCTGTTATTCTGCGTTACTGAGGATGAGAAGGGAAAAGCTGCTTGGAGATATTGTGGGATGTCTATGGCATGCTGAAAACGTTCTTTGAACCTGGAGGAAAGTCGGCTGGCCTGCTGTTGTGTTCTGCCCCGACCTGTAGCAGCAAACCAAAGTGCTGGGAGACACAGAGATGACAAAGTTTTTTATCCAGACATGCGGGGCTGGAGGAACTACGTTACCATTAACTCATTGTGAAGGGGTTGAGGGGAAAGCGTTTTTCCTATTGGAAAAGAAGGGAAAACAGCATCTCTGGGAATAGCTCAGATCATAATACATGCAGGGAGAGCTGTCAATGTGTAACACGATTTCATCAGTGGTGCTGCAAAACCGTCACTGCGTTGAGTTCAAATTGCGGCTCTGCAAACCCGAAAAGCTGCATGGTGAGCATCCGTGCTGCTGCCCTGCAGCTGGGAGCTGAGTTCCTCTTCATTGTAAAACCACCCGATAGATACGGCTGCACTGTGTTTGCTAGCAGGGTTTGCACTGACATCAAATGAAGCTGGGATGGAAACGCTGTCCCAGTTCAGCAGGGAGGACTCCCAGGGCTTCCCAGCAAAGAGACGCGGTGCCCTTTGGTGGTGGCAGGAGCCTGATGGTGGGTTCCCAAAGCTCGTGGTCCTGAGCAGGATCAGTCCTCCGAGCACGGGGCTGTGGAGCTAACAGTTTGTTTTGGAGATGGCATGTTTGCCATCTGCTTTTTTTTTTTTTTGGTTTGTTTGTTTGAGTGTGACTGTTGACGGCTCGTAAAACAGTGTGGAGAGCGAGCAGCAGAAGAAAAATTGGTTGTGCTCTCAGTTCTCTTGTGAGGAATGAATAAACCCCACTTTGATCCAGGATGTGCTCAGCTTCTGCATGTTGGAGTTATTACTGTCCCTTAACTTCTCTTGGATATGAGGGGGTGGCAGCCAGGGACTGTGCTTCTCTTCCAGCCCAGGTCGGGCTGCTGGGGATGGGTTGTGCTTAGGCAGCTCACTTGGGTATGGGGATGGAGGGATGAACCAGGGCAGGAATGATTCCATCACCAACTGGGCTCCTGCCCACTGCCTCTGTGTCTCATTGCCGGCTGTGGTGGGCAGGACCCCGAGCTGCAGGATGCACAGCTGCTGTTTGTGCTGTTAATCACCCCTTTTTAATTAAAGCAGGTGCAGGTGCTGCAGGAAGAGAAAATGATTTGTGTGTATGTTGAATTGTTTCTCTTTTTCTTGCTGATCTGGTGTCCCCATGCGAAAAAAATAACCAAAACCATTGGGAATGTTGTAAGGAGAGGAAGAGCTCTGCCATTGCTTTATAATGGGAAGAACGGTTCGGGTGCTGCCGAGGTACGTGGGGAGAAAGCAGCAGGGCTGTGGGGTTTTTTACAAACTTGCTTTCTCTTGAAGCTCTAAGAGGCTGTTTCATTTGTGAAACGCAGCTCTCATTCCCAGAAGCTGCTCAGACTGAGATGGGCAAAGAATGGGCAGGAGGCAGGAGCTCACCTCGCAAATGAGCGAAGCGAAGCCTGAACCACACGGCAGCGGTGAGCATCCATCCACGGTGCTGCCGGGAATGAGTTTCCCAAACCCAGCCCTCCCCTCCCAGCCACTCATGCAAAAACTGGGGATGGGTGCTTGTTTTGAGACATTCCTTTGGGCCGTTTGCCTGAAAGAAATAGGGCAGCTCGCTGCTTCTTGCGGGACTGATTTTTGTGCACGCCAGCGGTGCGGCGGGCATCCTAGAGCCTTCCTGCTTTGTCATTTTGCTCTCAGGCCGGTTGGTGTGTGATTATTTGGTTAAGCATTGCCCGCTGTTTGATATTTTTTCTTGCATCCTTGAGTGCTGTGATTTGAAATTGGAAAAGCTTTTTTTTTTTTTACGTAGATTTCTGTCTTCTGGCTGCCTACAAGAGACGCGAGTGCGGCTCCGTCACAAGCAGAGTCCTGAAGAAAAATAAAACGAAAGCAAAGAATGGACAAAAATGGGCAATTTACCCTTTTTAACAGGGGGGGGAAAGCCATGTGAATGTGAAGGAGGGAGCTGAGTGGGTCTGAGGGTGCCGATTGCGCTGCCCTCCTTCAGATGGACAAAACCAGGCTTTTATTTGTGCGTTTCACTTTGTTTTATCGCGATCAGCTTTGCTTCCTGGTTCTCATGGTCTCCTAATTTGCTGATGGCGTTTGTGTTTGCAGCCCATCCGCAAACGCTTCCAACTCCTTAATTTGAAAAAGATTTCGCTGAAAGTTTTTACTTCTTTTTGTTTTAAGTCCCCCCTTCCCCTGACGTAATGAAAACAGTGCTATGAAAATGAGATTTTGAAACGTCTCGTAAAAAAGAAGCTTAAAGGTTTGGTCTAAACTTCCAGCAGGCTTTGAACGAACATCAGCTTTCTGTCATCTGTGCTGAGTTTCCACTGTTAGCTGCTCCATTTTCTGTCTTTTTGGTGGTACATAAAACAGCGATCGCATGGGAAAATATTATCTCAGGATTAATTTGGGCAGTCCTTGCTCACACGAGTCATAGCATGCGATTCAATGGGCTGCTTGTGCCTATGCCAATTGATGAGTATTAGCGTTTAGAGGCTTGACCAGCAGCCTTGAGTCATGCAAAAAAAAAAACAACAAAACCCTTTTTTTGAGGCCGGTGGAATATTTCTGTGGAGGGATGAGGCGCTGCTGTCTGTACTCAGGAGCACCTTGTGCAATTTGGCATTGGTGCAACGTGTACCCAAATAGTGATGGTAGGGAGCCTGGGGTGAGAGAGAGCATGGACACAGCATGAGCAGGAGGAGCTGGCAGGCTTTAAAGCTGAGTGCTCTGACAAGGCAGGCACAGAATTACAGGGTCATAATTCCTTCAAGGCAGTGGTCTTTCCTTTTCCCCCCTGCTTTTTTTTTTTTTTTTTTTTCCCTGGTGACTGAATATACTTCCATGGTTTTTGAGATCACCAGAATGGCTTGATGAGATTATAGGTGTTTATTCCAGGTCGCAAGTTGTTTATGGTATATTTAATCGTTTTGGAAACCCGTATGAAATAGCCCTGAGGGAGCTGCGTTCCTGCTGGGCCTCCGTTGCATAATGAAGCACATCACGAGTATGACCAAGTGTCACAATATCCCAGCCTCGGGCCTCTGTTTCTGGGGAAGATGAATCACTGCCTTTTGGTTCCC